CCCCCCCCCCCAAAAAAAAAGATGAGAGCAGTGTGTTAGTTTGGATATAGGATAAGTTGGTATAATACAGAGTCTCCAAAATGTAGTGGCTAAGACCTTCAGATTTATTTCTGTCTTAATGTAGAAGTAGTGGCTGAATGGTAGTAGAGTAGCTTTGCTTTCTTCAATATATTGCTTGTGTCTGTGGGTTCAAGTCATTTTCTGTAATTTTCACCATCCCATAAACATTAAGAAAGGAGAAAGAATGGGCATCCTATTCCTAAGGCAAAACCTAGAAAATGTTCTCTTCCTGTGTCTGTATAAAATTTTGATACATGGCTGCATTTAATGTGAGTTGTAGACTGCTCAAATATTCTAGTTCTTTTCCTTTTGAGCACATTGAGAATTACATTTTCCTTGATCACTTTGAATGTGTAACTTGGTTTTGACTAGTGGAACAGGAAGTGGTATTTGTGGTTTTCATGTGATAGCCATTAAGAGCTAATATGTTATATGACACTTCTCTGTCTCACTGGTTACACTGAACAATATGTATTTGTAATATGAGCAAGAATTATACTTTTGTTGTGTTGACTAATGAAGGGGATTATAGAGTTGTTTGTTTTGGCAGTATAACTGAGCCCAGAGGTTCTCATGGTATGAGCCCTGTGGGCCTGACCCTGTGGCTTGAGTTCAAACAGTTTCACTCTCACATTCTTATGAGTCAAATGAGATTTTCCTAACAGGGCATGATGGGTGCTATTATATCAGTTTGATTACAGAAGTAGACAGGAAAATTTGTTTTCTATTGAGCCAGACACTAATAGAGACTTAAAATAATGTAATACAGTGCCATTTTTGTCTTTAAATTTTTGTTTTGGAAGACACAAATACCGTTCATATAAATGTGTTATTTGGTCCTGTGCCGGTGGCTCATGCCTGTAATCCTAGCTACTCAGGAGGTTCGATATGAGGATCGCAGTTCAAAGCCAGCTCAGCAGGAAAGTCCATGAGACTCTTCAGTTAACCACCAGAAAACCAGAAGTGGCACTGTGGCTCAAGAGGTAGAATGCTAGCCTTAAGCTGGGTCCAGGCCCAGAGTTTAAGCCCCACGACCAACCAAAAAAATTGTGTTATTTATGTAACCTGTTTCATAAAAATTTGTTAATTACTGCTGGGTGCTGGTGTCCCATACCTATAATCCTAAATACTTGGAGGCTGAGGTCTGAGGATTGTGGTTCAAGGCCAGCTTGGGAAGGAAAGTTAATGAGACTAATTCTCAATTAACCACCAGAAAACCAGAAGTAGCACTGTGACTCAAAGTTGTGGAATGCTAGCCTTGAACAAAAAAGCTCAGGGACAGTGCCCAGGCCCTGAGTTCAAGACCCACAGCCCACCCAGAAAAAAGTGTTACTATTTTAATTGAATTAATAACCATTTAAAAATTTTTTTGTTTTGTAATATGGTACATATTGATAAATTGATAGCCCATATATGATAGAAGAAAATATTTTGTGCCTAGTGTTTGAAAGAACTAGTAAAAATGTGATTAAAGCAAAAATAACAGTTATAAATAAGGAACAGAATTTCTGAAGGACAATGTGTAATTTGAAAATAAAGCCATATTGCTTGGAATTAATCCTATTTAAGTCTAAAATTTTAATATAGTTTATGAAGTTTTTGGATTGTGCCATGTCTTTTTTGTAAGAATATCTTTATTACTTATATTCAGTTTACATTTAAAGGTGAAAAATGGCTCAGATTTTAGTGGGCAAAAGGTGAGGCTTCTCCAGTAAGTGGGTGGTGAACCAAGTTGAGCATTTTACTGGTCAGCCTTTAAACAGAAACAATAAGGGTGAGGGTTAGGTTATAAGGGGAGGGGGACCAGATGCATTTTTTTTCATTCTGGGAACTAGGCCTGTCCAGTCTAAAATCTCTAAAACAAAGGCAAAGCTCAAAATGGAATCATACCAGCTTGGGCCCCATCTCAGGGTCCACTTCAGGTTGCTGTGGATTATTTGGCATCAAGAAGGGAAGTAGACTATTTAGAACTCTGAATGATTTTGGGTTTGGGTAGTTACAGATAACAGATCTGGAGAAATGAATGGATTTGAGATGTTTCATTAAGAGTTGGAATTTGGGTATTGGGTTGGAGTATGACAGAGTTCAGGTAGATTTTTATTTTAAGTAACAAATGGCTTGTGTGAGTTAAGATTGAAAGGAGTGGGGCGCCTATGGCTTATGCCTCTAATTCTAACTATCTAGGAGGCAGAAATCTGAGGATTGTGATTCATAGCTACCCTGGGCAAGAAAGTCTGTGAGACTCTATCTCCAGTTAATGACCAAAATAGCTGAAAGTGGAGCTGTGGCTCAAGTGGTAGAACACTAGCCTTGAGCACAAAAGCGCATGGACATTGCCTAAGCCTTGAGTTCAAGCCCCAGGTCCAGCACACACTCAACAGACACAGATAAACATGTGCGCGCCCACGCACACACACGCACACACACACACACACACACACGATGGAAAGGGATGGATTCAGAGGAGTAGATGTGTATTAGGTTAAATAAGCTGTCAAATTTAGGCTACAGTTGAATGTAGGACTCAAGCAGTGTGTAAGTAGTAGTTATATTTATGGGATTAGAAGAGAAGATGGATAGGAGAAGAGCTGTATGAGGTAACTTTGAAGTATAGATAGTAGGAGGCGAGACCTAAAAGAAGTGGTGATAGGAATAAAATCTGGAGAGTGCAAAGTCATTGAAGCACAAGTTGCATGATCCTAAGGTGTTAAATATGATAAGGATAGAAGTGATCATGGAAAGCTTTTCACAGCCTCCAGATGTAGAAGGCAAACAATTAGTTCAAAAAGTGAACAATATCTGAGTAAATACAAAAAAGCAACTATGGACCTCTTCCTAGGTACTGCAGAGAAATGGGAGATAGCTGTAGAAGATCTAGATCATTTGTGTGCTGATCAGTATGATCCAGTTGAAAGAGAGATAGATGATTGATCAGGATAATTGAAGTAGCACATAGTTTGAGAATACAGTAGGTAGAGGTGGTAAGTATGTAAAGGAGTGTTGCTGATTCCTCAGTGGTGACCTGGGGATGTGCGTCCGGTAGGCAGAAAGTGGACCACACTGTGCAGGTATGGACACAGTTTAATGAGACATCACATGCTTATGTACAGAATACAGGCATAGAAAATGAATCTTCAGTCACGGGACAGAAAGTTAACCTTAAACAATTTTCCAGGGATGCAGACAATGAGAGTTAACAACCTTTAGTCAGTGAGCAGGAAGAGTTAATTGTCAACAAAGGTGAAGCAGTTCCATGTGATCAAAAATTATAAAGAGTAATAAGGTACAGGTAGGCTCCCTTAGAAACACAATAGGGGATCAATGAGGCATCGTTCTAGAGGCATTGGTCTACAGAATTATTCAGAGGAAGCAAGAAGGCACTTTCCCCATGTCCTTCACCAAGGTCATGGCCAGGCATCCAGACCCTTGTCCAGATAGGGAAAAAGCTTCCTCATTCCATTCTGGAGGCTGCCGCTGGGTACCCTGACCTTTGCCAGGGTTATGGAGAAGCTTTCTTCTTGCTTGCCATCATTCAGAAACCTTATACAGCCCATGAATCCTTAGGCGGGGTCACGGGAGTCTGTGATTCTGACAATGGAGGGATCATTGTTTGAATCTCAGTTTATCAGCTTGAAAGAACCTTTTTTTTGGGGGGGGGTCCAGTCATGGGGCCTGAACTCTGGGCCTGGGCGCTGTCCCTCAACTCTTCAGTTCAAGGCTAGCGCTCTACCACTTGCGCCACAGCGCTACTTCCGGCCTTTTTTCTTTTTGCTTATGTGGTGCTGAGGAATCGAACCCAGGGCCTCAGGCCTGCAAGGCAAGCGCTCTACCACTGAGCCACTTTCCCAGCCCTTGAAAGAACCTTTTAAGAATGAGAACATATCATTGTTCTACTTAGAAACTTCCCCTCTCATTAGTTGCTAAAATCCAGAGCCTTACTGTGGCTTCCAGAAGTTTAAATTGTTATTTTCCTGTGCTCTTTCCCATTTCCACCCTCAGCTCTGTCCTATGGCTTACTGTTTTTCCTTTAAGTCTGTTCTAACCACATTAGCCACCTCATGTTCCTGCAATTGGTGGATGTGATTCACTGTTTCTGCAGAAATCTGCATGGCTCATTTTCTCACTTCTTTCAGACCTGTCCTTCCATCGTACTCTCTCAATGAGGAGTTCACTCTATCTAAAATTGTACACCTACTTGTATACCTTTCTGTTTGTCCCCTAGCCTGATGTTTTTTTTTTTAGGAACATTGACAGACTATAAATTAGTCTGTTATTAGAATATTTCCTCTGTGTGGGACAATTTTTTTCTAATTTATTATTGTTTTAGAAGTGATACACAGTGGGGTTACATTTACATATGTCAAGTAATAAGTATATTTCTTGTTCCCTCATTCTCTCCCATTCCCTCCCTCCTGTCTCTACCCACTAGTTGCATATTTCACTTTCATCAGTGTGGGATAGAAATTTTTGTGTTTTTTTTTTTTTTGTATGTTGGAAATACCTAGACTAGACTATGTTTACAAATGTTTACATAATGAATTGGGAATAGGGTGTCGTAGCTTGAATACTATATTTAAGGGATCTGATATTAGAAAGATGTGCATATTTTATTTGATTTTATGACAGTTATGAAAAATGAGGATAATGGGGTAGGATATGAGGAAGGGAATGGTGAATGTTCAGGGTGTGATGTAACAATACTAGACAGGATTGATTGCATATTTGTGACTTTTGGTCTTGTGATTTGTGACTTTTTAGAAATACATTGTGTTTCTCATTCAAATCAGAATTTGAGCAGTATTGGTTTACAAAGCAGAGTAATAGTATGTGACATATAAACGCTTAATGTTTCTAGAAGAGTAAAAGTTTTTAAAGACAGGATCTTTATAGTATTTAATTTTTGATTAGCCAAACCTGCTCTGATATCATGTTCTTTTTAGCCTTACTAATAATTCTAGGATTGTGGGACTCCTGGCTCAGCTAGAGAAGATCAATACTGAAGCAACAGAATCGGATACTGCTAGATATGTTACATCAAAAATTCTTCATTTGACTCAAAGTCAAGGTAAGTTTTAATTTCTTCTGTTTTTGGAATGTTTCTTTTTAATGTGTTTTTTTTGGGTCCGGTCGTGGGGCCTGAACTCTGGGCCTGGGCACTGTCCCTCAGCTCTTCAGCTCAAGGCTAGCACTCTACCACTTGAGCCACAGTGCCACTTCCGGCTTTTTTCTTATGTGGTGCTGAGGAATCGAACCCAGGGCCTCAGGCATGCAAGGCAAGCGCTCTACCACTGAGCCACCTTCCCAGCCCTCTTTTTAATGTTTTAAGTGTAGATGTTACAGATGTTTAAAATTTTGATAGACAATTTCCTGTAAAAATTGAACATTTTCAAATCTGATCAAAATAAAATCTTTGAAAGCTAAAGAACTTTGAAGGAAGTTGACTGAATGAATTTATGTTACGACTTTTCATTCCATTGACCAAATACCTGAGAGAAACAATTTAAAGGATGAAAGCTTTAGTTTGGATCAATGCTTCTGAGGTTTTAGTTTATGGTTGTTTCTGGGTCATGATAAGGCATAACATCTTGGTGGAAGAGTATGGAGGAGCAATGTTGCTTCCCTCCTGGCTGCCAGAAAACAGAGCAAGAACATGCTATATTAGTGGGCCTTGTCTTCCCTCCTCTATTCCATCTGGACCTCAGCTATTTGGAGTGTGCCATCCATATCAAGATAGATAGATCTTTACCCTCTTAGTTAGTTGTCTCTAGAAATTCTCTTGCAGACATACCCAGAGGTATGCTTTACTATTGTTCTCTCAATCTAATCAAGTTGACAATCAAGATTCAGCACTACAGAATTGTTTGTACTAGTGACATATATATATATATAATGTATATGTATATGTATATATATATATATATATACATACATATACATGTATGATTGTCACTCCTGCCCCCATTTTCAGATAGTACCCAATTCCAGTGCTCCTTATAGAATGTTGACAAAAAGATGCCAAGCAGCATTCAATATTGGATACTAGTGTTGTTTCCACTGTCAATTTCCCATTCTATCACTTAGTGTCTACTGTACTTGAAGAAATGATTGAAACTCTAGGACTTAGTCTTACCGTCTCTGAAATAAAGATAATAAATATCATGGACTTGCCATAAGTCTTATATGAGAAGCATAGAAATATGTTAAAAATGTTGAGTAGATGCCATCTGTAATTAGACATTGTTTCTCTGATTTATGCAGCACCATGCTATCAAATTTATCTCAAAACCTTGGCAGAAGCCAAGCATGGTAGCATAAACAGAAATTAGAGAAAATGACAGCATCCACTGCTATTGAAGATACAGAGAGTAGGGTGTTGTCATAGATTGTAGGTGATGCAGTAATTGCTACAGATTTTGGAGAAAATGATCTAGTAATGTTTATTAAAATTTAAAGTGCATCTGCTGTTTGATCTAGTGTTTCTACTTTTGGAAATACATTTAACTAAAATAATGTAGATACAAGAAGAAATGTATAGAGATAAATATTGCAGCATTGTTTATAATATCTGAGATCAAGAAACAACCTAAATTTGTTTTCATCAATGAGAAAAAAGATAAGATAAAAAAACTAGGACTTTATAACTATATTATAAGTTTGTCAGTGGTAAATTCTTTCTTTTCTTTTCTTTTCTTTCCTTCTTTCCTTCTTTCCTTCCTTCCTTCCCTCCCTCCTTCCTTCCTTCCTTCCTTCCTTCCTTCCTTCCTTCCTTC